AATGTTATAAACCAATGTTACTGCAATAAAAAAAAAATTAAAAAAAAAAACAAAAAACCAAGACACATAGATCTTGGTTAAAATCAGGGTAATCAAATCATTAAAATAGGGATAAAAGAATAAGTCATATTCTGAAGTCATGGCAGTAATTATAATTAAAAAAAAAACACAGAAGAATAGTTGCTATAATTGACAATTAAATTTAGCTCCAAGCTTCCTGGGAATCAGGTAACGCCTGAATGTGATGAGTTAGCTCTCAAGCTGAGCATATGCATTTGTCAGGAGAAACAAAACTTTTTTCCAGGCCTGAACTGAAATAGTAAAGCATGGATCTATCAGAGATACCAAACAATTATAATGAAACACTTTTTTTTTTTTTTTTGCTGAGGAAGATTCACCTTGAGCTAACATCTATCACCAATCTTCCTCTATTTTGTATGTGGGTTGCTCCACAGCATGGCTGCTGATAGGTGGTGTAAGTCCGCGCCCAGGAACTGAACCTGGGCCACCAAAGCAGAGTGCACCAAACTTAACTACTAGGCCACTGGGCTGGCCCCCATAATAATGAAACAGTCTTATAAAATATAGAGGAAAAAAGGTAGATGGCCATTTCTTTTATAAAAATCTTAATTTACACCGAGGACCCAAGTACACTATACTTTTGTGAAGGCATTTCTGCATGGAGCTGAAGTAATGGAATTGCATTTGATAACTTTGATCAGGATGGAACCAAAAAGAATCTATCTAATGGTGAGTCACTCTATCACTTTGAACTGTTATCTCAACCCAAGTTTTACTAGGTGTTGGATAAGACATTTCAAAATGAAGTATTCTGTGGAGTAAATGGAAAATATATATGTCTGTTTTAAATGGGCAAAGGTGACATTTTACCATGAGAATTAAATACCTGTAATTGTATTATTTGAAGGCCCATTTTCAGAGGGGAGCCACAAAACATCTTCAGTCAGGTCACAACTGTTGTCTACTGGTATTTCTCTTTTTAGTGATGATTCCCAAGAGCTTTTTTTCATAATAGACGTGAAAGAATGAGTAGGAATGCTAACACTTATATAGCACTTACTGTGCAGGCACAATCCTCAAAATAACCCATGAGGTATTATTATTATTCCCATTAAACATGGAGAATAATCTTAGATGTGAATGATTAGGGAACTTAACCTTCTGGTTTTAATTTCTAAACCTGGTTAAATTAATATAAAATAGCAAATGTTTTTAAGTTCCACTTTTTAAATTATTTCATTCATTGAACAGATATTTAGTGAGCACCTTCTACGTGCTGTGGAAACAAGAACAAAATAAAGCCCCTGCCCTCCCAAAGTTTACATGTTAATGAGGAGACAACAGAGCAAGTAAAAACAGTAGGGAGATGCTGTCGTTACTACAGAGCGATCAGAGAACACCTTCAAAAACAACTTTTTTGAAGACTTGAGGGGGAAAAAAAGAAAACCAGGTAGCCCAAACAACCCTGAGGACAGCTTTGTCCACCACTATTTCATCCTTTTACCGTCTGTGAGTTATCGCCTGGGTCGCCGCTATCCCAGCTTGGGTTTTATACATGATGGAGCACGAAGTTCCCCCAAGTATGCAAATGGCAAAATACGCTTCAAAAAAGTTTCCTTTATTTAGAGATTGAATCCTTCCTCTGTTCGGCGCTAAGTTTTTCTTTAGTTGACCTGGTTCTTTCCCCGTTCTCTGCTGCAAAGCGGGCTGGGACTTCCCCTCGTATCCACCTCGAGACTGGCTCGGTGGCCTGATCGACGTGTTAGTGTGGTGGGGGTTGAGGGGTGGGGGGCGCTATTGCCCCGGCCCTAAAGTCGCCAGCAAACGTTGCCCTCGATCACGAACTGCTGCGCGGCCCAGGGCGGCCCC